CACGAGCACCCTGTGTATTTTGGTCAGCCTCATACCCAACGACAGGTACAGCTGTAGGTTGCGATAGTGAACTATGTACTTGGTCTTATTCATTAAGTTGGGCACTAGTTTTTCAACGTCTGCCACCCGCCCACCTAACAAGTTAGGTTGGTACTCGGACATCCAGTCTGGGTTAACCCTCATACGTTCGGGGGCCAGGGGGTAGCTGTTGTGTGATGTGTGTAATGCCTTGGGGTATTCCAAGTCCACCTCGAGGATATAGCCTTTGCTCGAATCGTCCGCGATACTCATAACATCGATCTCGTGCGATGCCCATTCGAATCCCCCTGTGGGTAGATACTGGCTCATGGCCCAGCCGTACAGGTTGTTGGTGTCGAGGTAGAGAATATGATTGGTTGGCTTGCTCGGGTCGTAGCCCTTCACGTATTGATTATTTACTTTCGCGTATCGTTTGGTAGCCATGGAAATCCCACCTCGCAAGCCTTTCTCAATGAATAGGTGCATGTCGTGATCGGTGAGCAATTCCAACTTAACTCTGGTCTTTTTCAACAATGTATCCCACGACAGACCTTCGCTGGTGTAGTACCATGTGGGGTCGAGTTGATACTGCTTAAAACACGTCCTCCTAAACGTCTCAAACACGTCGGCTAGCAGCAGTACATCTGTTCTCAAGTACAAGTCGTGGTAGTCACCCAGATTCTTAAAGCCCAGTTTATTCCATACGTTAATCGCGTGCGAGTAATCGTCTTGAGTGATTGTCGAGTCGGTCAGGTTGCTGTAAAATTCTCTGATGGGGGGTAGTCGGGTCTCGGCGAACTTGGCCCAGCCATCCATGTACTCGTAGGGGTACACACCCTTCCTCATCATCAGGGGTCGAGTCTCGGCGTCGGTATATCGATCAGTGATGGGGAAGGTATTGTTGGCCTTGACCAGACTGTCGAGTGACGACAGGAGGAACTGAACCGAGTCAATGAACCTCAGGCCATTCAAGCTGAAGGAGATGTATCTCTCCATGTTGTTGGCGATGCACGTCAGGTTGCCGTCGACTTTCGCGATGGCCTGCATGATCAAGTGAGAGTCGCATTCTCTCTCAAGTTGTGGAAGACCACGGGGATGTTTATTGTCTTGGGGGTGATTCTAAGCTTGAAGTTACACACGCTGTGAGCGGCGCCTCTATACTTACCGGTGACGTGGCAGTGATCTCTCACCGAATCACTGTTCAGTGGGCTATCACACACGTGACAGTGAGTGCTGCAGGCGTGAGCTAGCCGGTCGGCTTGAGTCATACGCATGGGAGCGACTGTGTATAGTGCATTCCTAATACTTTTCTCTTTCTCCTGCAAACACTTTAGAAACTATTCAGCCGCGTCGGGACCCCTGTACACCACGGGAGCTTTCGTTTCCCCATCACATCGGACGACCACGTGTCCAAACCCACAGGCCTCGTGCTCCTGTGTTTTTTGTGTGTTGGGGGTACCCCCAGCCTCAACGGGTTTGACCAAGGCTTCGAAGTCGGCGTAGATGACATAAGGCACGGACATCTGATTCTTGTGGTTGGGGAATGTTAGGGTATTGTCGCCTTCCCTAGGCATGTCGACTCGTATTGCCGTCTGCCCTCACCTTGGCAATCCCCCCGGTGTGATTCCAGCAGGTCGGGTCGGCTGAAACCGTGCAGGCATCGTACACAAAAGTGTTTTTTCCCGTCGTGTTTCGACTGGTCGTGCAACATCCTGCTGAGGTGCTTTATCCACGTGAAGTGATACTTATCTCCTCGCTGGATCATGAATATATTGATAACATGGCGACCCCCTTCCCCCAACACTGGGCTGACCCTGTGCACGATCGTTGTGTTACCTTCGTGCCCAAAGACGTTTATGGCTATATCATTCTGGATTTTCTATTTTAGTGATCTGAGATATGGGGGTGGGTTCGGTTATATCATCCCAGTTGATCCCATCGTCTTGGGGATAACTAGAAGGTCTGTTCGAATTTGTGTCAGCTGGAAACAAGGCTGACCTGATAGCTAACCTCATGCAGTCGTCTCCTCTATTCTTGATGTTGACTATGGCCTGCTGACTATGGCCTTGTAGTAGGGAGGCAAGTCTAGGTACGACCCACCTCTGAATGGCACGTAGTTAGCTATGTCTAGATAGACATTATCGATTTTATCCACGACCCACCCGGACCCCATGTGTGTGTAGCGTTCTAGGTATTCTCGTACCTGCTGAAAACTGATATCGATTGACTCTTCTATAGTCTCGGTATGAGTCACAACTTCTTGTTTACCTTGGAAGTAAGGCTGAACGTACTCAGTGACCCAAGCGCCCTGCTGTTTATTGGACGACATTTTCACTGTGATTTGAAACTTAATACTTCCCAGATCGTTTAGTTCCTCATTGACTTTATCAGCGATTAGAGGCTTGATATCGGCAATGTCTATGTTCCTATCAACATGCATGCGCCAGCCTCTCAAAAAGTTACCTACAGCGCGCTCAGTGCGCATGAACTCTAAGTCAATAGCGTGCCTCCTGTTTGAGTAGTTTCACAGTGGGGAGCTGAACGCGAACGGGGTCATTTAATAATGTCACTAACCCGTCTCTCCTCAGGCGGGAATAACCCGTCAACCCTAGCTCTTTTGCTCGGAGTTTTAGTTGTTTTACCGTGGGTGGGGGTTGTATGTTAAGTAATCTCAACAACTGTGGTTTGGCCATTCTAGAGTAACCAATTACACCTCGTTGCCTGGCGATCTGCTTGAGCTCCCGAGTAGTAGACATTGTGTACACACCTAAGTATGAAGTCCAGTATTGTGGAAGTTTGTATGTAAATTAGGATTCCACAAGAAAGTACATATAGAAAAATTAAATGGAAATGATGATTAAAAAAAATGATTTCCTTATATTCAGTGTCATTTTATCATGGTGTACAGATTTTGAAGAGAGAAACTTTACTGAGAGTTGCTGCAGATCAGCTGTTGAATATTTGTTTCTGGGTATGTCCAGATACGTCCATGGAAACATATTGTTTACAAGCCCAATTACCTTTTCCAGATTTCCAAATAAGATCAAATAGGTTATGCTGTGATTGATTTGTTTACATTAATTGTACAGACAAATAAGGTGCATGAAGTAGTAGACGGGAAATATTTTCTGCTTTTTATTTGCCATTCTCTTAATTCATTAAAAGATAGAAACCCATGTTTTCAGATTATTGAACTAAATTTGAACAACGCAAACGGATAAGTAAAGGCGCCACGTGCAGTGTTGATAATCTATTTATAGATACCGAAATGATCTGCAACATGACCATGTGGTTGTGTTCACGAGTTCTACAAAATTATAAACCCAAACAACAAAATTCAGTTATCCTTTCCCTGCTAATATCTGTGACGGAGGTGAATTGCCAGATAGATTAGTTGATTCGAAAGAAATTACGCTTCCTACAGTCTCAGCAGCTAGTCGAGACGCTTGTTCATCGGGCATGTAACTCATTTTCACTCGCCAGTTGTAATCTGCCAGCTAAAATGTATTAAAAATCACATACGTATAACTTGCCTCTTTAAATAACATTCACAAACGACGGATACCAAACTATCACAAGCAGAATTCATCAACAACGTTCGCAATCACGTAACGTTTCGCCGGCGGTGACGCCATTGTGATTTGCCAGTGGTTGTCCCCCCTAACGTCAAAAACGAAGTGGGCGGGGCTTATCGGCCGAGACTGGATCGGTCTATTTCAAGCCAAAATCATGGATCACCCAAGACAGCGAAAACTCACCTTTTAAATTCGTTTATTAATTCCAGCCACGTTGACAGCACCTATGTCGGACTAGATTCGATCGGCAGCGGCATTCAACGGGACTAAAATCTTATTGCAACATCTACAAATCATTTTTCTCGACAGTAAGCAGGCACTTTCTCTAAAACCATCGGCAATCATACTCACTTGTCGGCCATGACGGCCTTGACATTCAAAGATCTGATCCGCAGAAACTGAATTAGGCCATCCGATTGGTGGAAAATGTAATATACTGTAAGATTTTGCCTGTTTGCTAATGGGCGCGAAATATGAACTTTGCAATATTCCTTCTATTTTGGGATCATGTACGGAACAGTAAATTGTTAAGAATAATTTTAGAGGTTGTTAAAATGTATTCGATGTTGATTCATTTTAGGAAATTTATTTATAAATATTTAACCTCTAAAATTATTTTTACCAATTTACTGCTCAGGTCACTTAAATGTCAAGGCCATCTATGGCCGTCAAGTGAGCATGATTGCCGATGGTTTTGGAGAAAGTGCATGCTTACTGTCGAGAAAATGATTTGTGGATGTTGCAATAAGTTTTTAGACCCGTTGAATGCCGCTGCCGATCGAATCTAGCCCGACATAGGTACTGTCAACGTGGCTGGAATTAATAAATGAATTTAAAAGATGAGTTTTCGCTTCGTGGGTGATCCATGATTTTGGCTTGGAATTGCGGAGGTAGTTGTTTTCGGTGAGCCGTGGCGTATAACTTTTGAAATAATGATCCGATTGTTACCATTTATAGCTTATTTTGTAGGGAAATCATCTCGCTTTCGATCCGTAGGCCTCGACGGCGCCTTAAAAATAGTTTACGTGGTGAAACCTAACTTTGATTGAGGAGGGGGTGGTTCCGTCGTTACATCCCTTTCCTTTTATATAGTACTAGGGTAGGGTCTATATACCTTTATGTCTTTGTAACGCTGTTTCTACGCGTGACGCTCCCCTGTGCAGTAACCCATGCATGTCGTAAGTGGCGACTAACGGGATCGGGTGGTCAGGCTCGCTGACTTGGTTGACACATGTCATCGGTTCCCAATTCCGCAGATCGATGGATGGTCATGTTGTTGATCACTGGATTGTCTAGTCCAGACTCGATTGTTTACAGACCGCCGCCATATAGCTGGAATATTGCTGAGTGCGGCGTAAAACTAAACTCACTCACTCAGTATAGTCTCTCTGATTTACTGAAATCGACCTATGTCATCACATGTACCACATTGTTCAATTCTTCCTTTGTCACCATCCCGTTTGGTTTAATGTTTCTGCCGTTTGTCTTGTAGTCCCATTGCTTGACCGAAGTGATCCAGTTCTGCCCATAGTTGGCAGTGATGTAGGGTAAGGTAGGACACGGAACCCGCACACGGTAACCCATGAAGTCAGTCCAGCATGTGTCAGACTTTGGAAGAAAGAGCCTGGAATAATTTTCAAATATATTTCATCTCTTTATCTTCATACCTGACCGTTATTGTTAAAAGTAAAACATATTTGAATGCATCCACTATCAAAATCCTCAATGGCCATCTATTTTTCATCATACCTGACATATCTAAATACTGCAAAAGTTATATCTAGTGGACTCTACGACATTCAAAGCCAAGCCACCTCAAAGGACGCCCAATCACGATAAAGTCACTCCTGGCACTGTTATAAACACGATGTGTGAGTGAGTTAAATATAATATACATTTGTATAATATATTGCGTCCACTGAGTATTTCTACAAGGGGCCATGTGGCCTTATCATACAAACAAAGAATCTTGAATAACATCGGCCGTTAACGAGGACTGCAAAAGACAGATTTTTAAAAAGCTCCCGTAAAGGCTATGAAAGCTATTGATATTGTGTCATTTATTTCTTAAAATAACTTTTCAAGTTATTCCATGGTATGTGATTGGGTATTTAAATGGACTCCGTCCGTCCGTGCACATTCGTCCTTTCCGGGGCAGAACTTTAAAACCGTCCAATATTCCTTCACCAAGCTTGGCACATAGATAGATCTGGTGGTGTACTGGGACCTTTTGGTAGTTTTGGAATATTCTGCATAAAATATGTTTTGCGTTTCCAAGGCAACAAGTTTCACTTCAACTGAATTTGGTGGTAGTACTCCCTTCTGGATCAGAAATTAAAACCCTTTCAATACTCTCCTTCCACTTGCTATATACAGGCCAAGCATTTGACATAATCATAAGTAGACATATTCATGAAGATAATTTTGCCATTGTGGGGAATATTGATGACTTTGTCTTCTTGTTACTTATGGTAGAGTGGGTAGGCTTTGTTTTACACCACTGCATGTTTTTCCTTTATAAAGGAGATCCAGACACTCAAACAGTACAAATACACACACCAACATATTGACGTCAATCCTTTAATGGAAGCCAGATCTAGTGCAAAGGGGTGAACACTTACTTGTACTTCTGGCCAGTGAATCTGTTGGTTGTTCCCACCCACCAATAAGTCTCCTCCTCATAGACGAAATACACATCCATCCTGACAAGACCAGCTTTAATGGACATTTGGTAGCTGTCAGATATCTACAAAGGAATTGGCAGAGAAAAAAACTTACAATCATTGGTATGTTTTGTAAACGAATTTTCATGAAGAATAATTATGTTGTCAAACATTTTCTGGGACAATTTTGACTGAGATTTCTTAGCCACAGAATTGGATGAGAAATATTTTTGTGGCAGACGGTTTATTGTAATTAAATCTGAAGAATAATGATTTTTCAAACACAATGTGTGTGCGTGTGCGTGTGCGCGTGTGTATGTGTGCGTGTGCGCGCGTGTGTGTGGTCTCCTTTCCATGAAGTTCATGTGATAAAATCGATGGAAGGAAATTGGCTATTTGATTTGACATTGAACGATTACAGACCATCGATATACCTGAAGCTTAAGTTGAGCTTCTTGGCCAAAGTACCTTATTATCTGATGTGCATAAAGAAACAGACCCACAAGGAGGGAGTACGACTGGTGCCCATAGGTATGCCCAAATCATATCTAAATGTAAACATATCGAGTTACAATCGAAATACTTATGTTTAACCCAAACAGCCTACAGAAGAGTCAAAACCCGATTACCTCTCGGGAAGCAATAAAGTCTTACCTTCCCCTTCACGTTGACTTTAAATCCCGCTTCTATAAACGCCGGCACAATGTCTGGACTGTAGTTTTCAATAGGAATCTCAATGTCCATGTCATTGGTATAAGGGATGAAACCACACTGTCGATACAGTGATAAACGAAATAATAATAATAACACCGGCAATGTTTCAGCCATATCGTGACAGGAAACAGGCCATAGATCGCCTACAAATGAAGTTAGATCACCACTTTTTGGGGGTTTGTTTGTTTTAAGAAACAAGTAAACATATTTTCGGTTTCCCCTCCTGCTTTATCTTCTTCATTAAGACGAGTTGTTGTGCCGGAAGTATACCAAACTAGCTCGCCTTCACTACCTCGGCGATCTGATTGGCTAACACATTACACTGAATGAATGTGTTTCTTTAAAAATATTTGTACTCGTTTTAAAATTATTCTTACCAAGATAAACATCAGAAAGTGACATCTTGGATGATAGACGTTTGAGTTTCCTCTCATTTTAGCACGTGCATTTGTTGTCATTTTATTAACCAATTTGATTGCGCTGACGACCTAGTTTTGTACACTTCCGGCACAGCAACTCGGTCTTTGGCAATTAAAAACCTCCAACAAATGCACTCCCCACGGAGAGCACGTGTATATGCCTCCTACACAATATAGGAAATATGGACAAAAGCTTTTGATCCCGGTGAGGCCTTTAAAATAGGATATATTGATTGATGTGTGCGTAATTGTCCGGTTTTCGATCATGTCGCCGTATTTCCGTGATGAACCTTTATGTATTATATAGTAGGGGTGTTGATACTAAACCGGCAGTAGTTACACACAAAGGTTCTGATCACGTTCTTCTTAATGCTTTTAATCCGGGACTTTGTCAAAGCGCTGGCTATTATGCTCATCAAACCTTCGTTAAAAGTGGCAGTTATGTTGCTGATGTGTTTGATTACTCCAAAGTGGTGTGAAAGATTCGTTTTGCGTGTTGCACTAAAACTGAACATTTCAACTGAAATGTATGTATTTACTCATTTTCTGGGGATAGGGGTTATTGAAGTCAGCGGCATACATTTTCTTTTGATCTTCCTGTTTCTGAATGTTTCTCAGCTGTAGGTACAAAGCGACACAACGAAGCTAAGTTGGCCTGGTAGACATACTGGGGGTTGCCTTCTGGAGGGTTGGCCTTCTGGTCATGACGAAAACCCAGGTTCGATTCCCCACATGGGTATAATATGTGAAGCCCATTTATTGTGTCCCACGCCGTGATGTTGCTGTAATATTGCAAACGGCGCCTTAAAACCATACTCTCTCACTGGTAGACTTACTGAAATTGAACTGGAGATACCCGAACAAATTCATTTAGGTAAAAGAAAAATAGCGTTATGTGTGGCCCAAAAGGTCAGGTGCCTGCGAGAGAAAAGCATTTATGTTTTGAAAAGATGACAAACAAATGCAATAGCAAATTTTGTTGATTAAAGCCACACTCAGCAATGGTGCAGCTTTATGATGGCGTTCTCTATATAATCGAGTCTGGACCAGAAAATCCAATAATTGACGCCATGCGCACTGTTTTGTATACGGAGTTTGGATTGGATGCCATGCACCAGCCTCATCAGCACGCCTGACAACCTGATTCCATTAGCCAGCCCTTAAGACAAGCACGGGCTGCTTACCTAAATTTGCTCGGTTGTAGGGCTGAGTGAGTGAGTGAGTGAGTTTTAGTTTGACGCCGCTTTTAGCAATATTCCAGCAATAACACGGCGTGGGGACACCAGAAATGGGCTTCACACATTTTACCCATGTGGGGAATCGAACCCGGGTCTTCGGCGTGACGAGCGAACGCGTTAACAACTGGGCTACCCCACCGCCCCTCGGTTGTAGGAACATGTGATGGGTCAGTGGTGGTGGTGGTTACGTATAATGCTGTAAAGATTATCTCACCAAGACATGTGCCATAACAGATCCGGAACGGAACGCCAATGCGATCCAGAGCCCTTTTCGCTTGTAACAGGACTTGTGCCCAACTTTGTGTCAAGTTATTGCTTTTCTGAGGGTTTGCCCTGAGATATGCCTGCGCCCCCTGATAGTCACACTCGATGAACTTGGCCTTCCGCATCTGGGCCAGGAAGTCTTCCACTGGATGCGGGAGTTGGAGCCATAAGCCATCCACAACCGAGAGGACAACGTCGAATCTAGTCAGAACAGGAGAGTGGACACCATTAACAGTCTGATATTGTCATTATACAACAGTTCCTGAAAACAAGCCACGGTGAAACGAGGTTTAACACACTCTTTATAAACCGTTAATTGAATTTGCTTACTCCTTTCTGGGTCAATTCTCGCTCATGAAAACCCCTTAGTAGGTTTTACATCATGTGCATGTCGGGGAGGTTTTACCTCTGGTCTATATTTAACCTGTTAAGGGGTTGATTTTCAGACGTAGTAAAACCCCTTTAACATGTTAAAAATCGCCCAGAAGTAAAACCTCTCCGACATGCACCTGAAGTAATTCTAACTGTTGGGACGTGGAAACTCCAAAACCGCTTTTATTTCATGTAATTGAAGTTAAAATGAACGCAAAATTTCCCTGTTGCAGTTTTCTCGAGGTAACGGAAGCATCCCTGACGTCAACGCTGGAGACTTGCTTTCTCGACTTGCTATCTGCGCTGCTGGTTGTTCCATCTTCGGTCTTCATCACCTTCGCATTGGCAACTTCTGATACCAATGCCTTTCGGTCATCGCTGGAACGTTTATACACTCGAACCGCATTGCTTGTGTGACCTGACAAACAAGCTAGGTTTACAAAGTAAATGTAATGTTTGCTATGTCAAATATCTAACTTCACCTCATAAATCGAGCTTCCCCGTGAATGTACCTTCAGTAACCCATACTTGTCGTAAGAGGCGACTAACGGGATTGGGTGGTCAGGCTCGCTGGCTTGGTTGACACGTCATTGGTTCCCAATTGCGCAGATCGATGCTCATACTGTTGATCACTGGATTGTGTGGTCCAGACTCGATTCTTTACAAACAGCCGCCATACACCTGGAATGTTGCTGAGCGCGGCGTGAAACTAAACTCACTCACTCACTCATAAATCGAGTGTACAATTAGAGTATTATATTAATTACATTACGACTGTACTGATCGAGTGTTGGACTTTACACTTCGGCTATGTGATTGTCAGAAAACTTTCAAACAATGATTCCATTTATTTTACAAAATTCACTAGATCATTACTGGTTTGCTCAAAGATCCGCTGTTCGTCTAGGTCGGCCTTCGATCCCTGTCATCCCACAGATCCGCTTTACTGTATGTTGGAGTGTATAATGGCCCACTGGACTGTCTATGTACCATTTGTCAGCTGTCGGCTTTTTCATTGGAGTGAAGTAAAACGCATTCGTTTTGGAGATTGAATGAGTACTAAAATATATAATTTACATTTAGATGAACATTTGAAATCTTTAAACTGTGTAATGCCACTCACCAGTCAAAGACAGTATGGTGTCGAGCAGATGTTGTGGATTATTCTCTCCTAGAGCACCTTTCTCCCAGAGGCGATTTTCTTCGTCGTCAGATATTACTTCAGTGCTTTTACAAGTACTTGACTCTAAACCTGCCGCCGACGTCTCCTTCATTACTACATCTAATGACCTTCTGCTTTCAACATCTTCAAACAGGTTCACACTTGGATATCGCTTTTTCAGTGCCGATGCAATAGCAGCAAATAGACCATACAGGGTTACCGCTAGATACCGTTCAATATTTCTTCTCTAAACTTGGCACATAGACAGATCAGGTGGTGTACTGGTGCCCTTTGGTAGTTTTGGAGTTCTGAATAAAATATTTTTTTGCGTTCCATGGCATCAAGTTTGGTTTCAACTGAAATTGGTGGCAGGGCTCCTTTCTGAGCAGAACTTTAAAACTGTAAATATTTCTTCACCTTTGGCACATAGATATGGTTCCTTTGGTAGTTTGGGATTTCTGAATAAGATATTTTTTGCGTTCCATGGCATCAAGTTTGGTTTCAACTGAAATTGGTGGCAGTGCTCCTTTCTGGACACTATCCTTCCACTTTGCTATATACACGCCAAAACATTGGACACAATTATAATTATACTAGTGGACATATTCATGAAGAATATTTTGCCATTGCGGTGATGACTTGGTCTTCTTCTTTGACGTCTCTCTTCCTGCCATCGACGAAAGACATACACAGCCCAGTCAGTCTTGTATTGAGTACACAGCCCAGTCATTCTTGTATTGAGTACCTTTAGGAAGGCACGGGTCCATTTATCAAACAGTTCTTTATCACTTTGTGGTACCACGAATAGGAACATAAATTCGTTTTCATCCTCCTTGTCATCCCCTTTTCACTCTCTCGAAACGTTGACTGTGTAAGGAAGATATCCTTGTCAGACGACATCTCGTCTTCGTTGTCGCTGATGGACTACTGTCTGAAACCACGTGGCTTTTAAAGGCATGCGTGCAGTAGTTGCACGTGCCGCATGTGCTGCTAGTGCACGGTCGCTCTTCAGGAATGTTTTAGAGTTGGTGACTGACACAGAAACGCAGAAGTATTTGATTTCTTAAAGTAAAATACACTCTTTTGTGGTTCTCAACAAACGGTTTATAAGTCAGAGAAAACACTTCTCCTCGGTTTTGCTACCAAATCCTCGGAGGCGTGTTTTCTCCATTACATCACTATTCCAAAAAGTAAATGTCATCTATTAAACAAAACTAAATCCCTACCCATTCTGTAAAATAACAGTTATGCCTCTCGTAAAAAGACAGAAATGTCCTCGTGGTAGATGGTTTCAAAACCTCTCACTGTTCATATTTATTATAGAATTCCTATTATTTGGGAACCAAGTTGTATGACTGTGTACTTATTTAGAAAATGATTCATTCATGATTTTTTATGTATTTCGTGCACACCTTTTTCCCGGAGCAGAACTTAAAAACCGTTCAATATTTTGTGCAAGCAAAAGTCGTGCATGTGTTTTTCATTGTGTGCACGTGAACATGATCTTGGTAACATGTCAGTGTCATGCTGTACATTTCAATAAAAAAATAGAAGTTGTTTTAATCTCAATTAATCGCCTAGTTTTTACACATGCCGGGTCTGACTTAGCAGGAACGGCCATGCTGGAACAAACTGGAACAAAATTACAATGAGTGATATCGTTAGGTATTTGGACTGATCGGGATTTACTTTCGATGTCCTTGACAGGAGCAACAGAGTGTGGCGTTGTCGAAAATGTTACTGACCGATCATCCTGGAAATGACTCAGTAATTGTGTTCGGTGGGATCACTGTGACTGACATCACACATTCACGTATTCTTCACAGAAGTGTCCCTGGACAGTACAACATTCTGGAGACACACGTGGTGCCATTTGCACAACAATATGGTCGTCTTCTTGTGTTCAGGTGACACCTCAAGATCACACAGGATTCGCATTGTCACCGAGTACAACCGACAGAGTAACATAAGCACCTTCGTCATCAATCGTTGTCCACTTTCATCAAACTTGGCGCTTAAATGCAGGAAGACTTGCATGGAATGAACCAAGATGAGGCTGGACGTTTGATATGAACTATATCTGGTCGAATCGGGGATTCTCTTCAGAGGAAGCTTTGGCCAATCATCTACCAAAATCAATGGTCATCTGTCGTTCAACAACCAATCTCACTCACTTGTCCCTATTACACTCATATACTGTTTACCTCATTAGAGATTTGTCAACGCGGAATTAAACTCAAATTCCTCCACCAAAACCTCACCAGGAGTTCAACTTGTATAATTGTTGTTCCTGTCATGTGGACACATGAGGCTCCAATAAGAATTCATCAGCAAACGGGCATCTGCCGCAAGAATCGACTGATGGTATGAAATGGAGACCCGGGAAGATCCGGGTTAGAATTGGTCTTCAGCAACCCATGCTTGTCATAAAAGACCAGTGAAGTTCCGGGTTAGAATTTGTGTTCAGTAACCCATACTTGTAAGAAACCCATGAAAATCCGGGTTAGATTTGGTCTTCAGCAATCCATGCTTGCCGTAAGAGACCCGTGAAGATCTGGGTTAGAATTGGTCTTCAGCACCCCATATGCTTGCCGTAAGAGGCGACGAACGGAATCGGGTGGTCAGGTTCTCTGACTTGGTTTACACATGTTATCGTACTCCAATTGTTTAGATCGATGATAATACTGTTGATCACTGGATTGTTTGGTCCAGACTCGATTATTTACAGACCATCGCCATATAGCTGGAATATTGCTGAGTGTGGTGTTAAACAACAAACCAAATCACCAATCAACCAGTTGCAATCACAGGAGACTCGTTTGAATACAGTGAGTGTGAGTTATTATTTAACGTTAATATTTCAACAAGAACCAAATCGCCGACGAAGGACAATAAAACAACTAGAATATCACAGATATACAATCACAAAACATTTTAACTATAAATATAAAAATAGTTCTGAAGATCACCAGACCCGTGTGAATACAGACTGGCTTCACATAATTAGAATTTTGCTGGGTGCGACGTTAAACAAACAAACAAACAAACAAACCTATCATATGCTCCTGCGCTTTTTCCAAATGTCGGGTTTATTCCTCTGAAGGTCTGACTATTCGTGGCACTCATTTTTTCAATTGAACTGTGCCACCAGTAGTCGTCGTCCCGTTTGTAGAACACCACCAGATGTAGAGGAATGCTTCCAGGCTGCTGGATGATGTAGTGTGTAGGAATGCTTGGAACTCTTAACCTCTTCAAGGACAGCAGGCGGGGATCCGGAGAGGTCACTGCATTTAGTACAATGCCAAGGTCATTGAGCTGTTTTTCGAGAGGTCCCTGAAATAAAACAAATAACACCAACTTTAAATGTTTGATATGATAATCAATACAATTAGAATTAGATTAGAATTGGGTTTCAGCAACCTATGCATTCCATAAGCATGTGGGTGACGGGAAAGGGTTGACACATGCCATCGTATCACAATTGAATTGAATTGAATTGAATTGAATGGTGACGTGAGATGAGGTGAGGTGCGATGGGGAGGTGAGGTGATGAGGTGAAGGTGGAGAATATTTCATATGACGACGTGTGTATGTGTATGTGCGGCTGCTCTAGCCCAGACTGAAGCTGGTTTTATAGTGCTAGCCCACTGAGATACCATGCTGCAGTGAAGCATGAATACTCCACTCAGACACATTATACTGACTCCGAGCCGACCAGTCCTTGTTGTACCCATTAATGCCGAGCTCCAGGCAGGGACCAACAAGTACCATATTTTAACGTCTTTTGGTATGACGCGGTCGGGGATCAAACCCGCAACCTTCCGCTCTCCGGGTGGACGCTCTAACCACTACACCACGGAGGCGGTCTGAATTAGTATGGTGGATGTTATTGTAGCTAAAATGTTTTGACCAATGTTCATGATGCCAATCACTGGAATGCAGCGTTATACAACAAAAACCATAACGGGTGTTATCAGTCGCCCTTTCTTGCTCGTCACGTTGGAAGCCGAGGTTCCGATTCCTGACATAGGTACAATGAGTGAGTGAGTGAGTTCAAATTTCACGTCACATCGGCAATATTTCAGTCATATCATAACGACAAAAAGGTATGTACTCAGAATAAATGTATAGACTATTATATACTTTTTTAAAAACCT